CCCCCCCCCCCCCCCTCCTGCTGCTGCTGCTGCTGCTGCTGCTCCTGCTGCTGCTCCTGCTGCTGCTCCTGCTGCTGCTGCTGCTGGAGGTGTCACTATTGGCTCCACCTCGTTTTTGTCTTTCTCCTCCTGGGATTTCACAGCCCTCAGACGACCCTCAGCTCACACACGAGGTGCAGCTCCACAGTGAGGAGGCAGAGTTTTTGAGGGAGTGTATGAGCGTCTCTGTCTGTGTGTGAGTGTGTGTGTGTGAGTGAGAGGAAAACTAAGACACGAGTTTTTGCCAACGTGCTGCAGGTGAGCTCTCCATCTTCTGCCTCTGTTAACATTCACATGGACACACACACAGTTATTTAAAAATAACAACAACAAAAAAGTATATAAAAAAAAATTTAACCAGTAGGTGATGTGTTTTTGTCATTGTCACACAGTGCTGCTCCTCAAGTGTGATTCAAAATGTACTGTATAGTGCTTTGTTTTCATGGGTGTGAAAGTTCACTGTGTTTTACATGGGATTTGTATGGTCACCAGACTCCACGACATCATTTTTTCCTCCTTCCTTTTGGAGCTAAAGACGAAGCAGATTTGTGTTTCATTTTATAGGACTCAATTCCATCTTCTTCTCCTGTGATTCAGTCTCTGATTTGATGCTCTTTTTGATAAGATTTTCTCTGACAACACACACTCTGACCTGGTTACAAAATTAAAAAATTGTACAAAATTGCTGTCTGCTTTACAAAGTTAGGAGGTTGACTGGGCTGGAAAGCTTTGTCTACATTTATGATTTGATCTAAAATCAAAGCTAAATCACGTGTGTCAAACTCAAGGCCCGCGGCCCAAATGTGGTCCGCCAAGTCATTTTCTGCGGCCCGTGGAAGCTTTAAAATATCCATGCTGCTGGATCGAGCACTGTACAATATTTGAAAATTGAATAAATAATAATCCATTTCAGAAACATGTATTAATGCGCTATGACATAGTTATAGCTATACAGTCTAAAATGTGTCCAAATTTTTTTAATTGCGCTATGACATAGTTATAGCTATACAGGCTAAAATGTGTCCAACATTTTTTGGCTAGATTTGGTTTCCCAGTGTAGCAGTTAGCACACCTGCCTCGGAAACAGAGAGCAGAGAGTCCTGGGTTCGATTCCCAGAGGAACCACATGCAGAAATATTTCCCAAAAATAGATCAAATGTATTTATTGATTTTTTCAATCACTTTTGAGAACTTTGTTGTGAGCGTTCAGCCCAGCATATTCCACTACAGTTACTGCACCCTGTTTTTCTGGCAGTAACCGGTTACCACAGAGTCAGCGCCCTGGTCCGACCAGTGCTGCCCTCTCCCACGTGGCCCCTCTGGTCAGCTACTCGTGGATCCTCTTAACCCTGCAGGTTAGATTTGATCCACGCAGGAGGGCGAGGGGTCGAGTCCCTGAGCTGATTAAAGCTCGACTAAGCCTTCAAGAGCCATGAGAACATGTAGCTCCAAACACACACACACGCTGTAGCCCTGACGAGCAGGTGAAAAGACGTGAAAAAACTCCCAAAATATATTTTCACTTCCAGCAAATGTGATTTTTCCAGGTATTCTCACTCTGTAAGGGTTAAGAAAATCAACACCGCCCTCTGATTCCCTGACTCACTCCTGATATTGTAGGTGCTGAACCTGAGCTCTGGCCGTGCAATAATTGCACTGCTGCTTAATCGGGTAGGAATGTGTGCGACAGTGTCACAAATATGCCCTGCAGTCATTGTTAATTTCTCATTTCTTCAGCAGAATTCGGACACGTTTTTGTTTTTTGTTACATCGCCTGAGATTTTGGTGTTAAAAGTCTTGATTTCCGGCTGAGGTTTTTGTTCATTTTCTTCTGGTGTGATATCGTTGTTTTTTTTTGTATGTATCTTGACAACATTGTAAGAGTCAGTGCAGCCAGGTTTAAGTTGGAGATCAAATATAGGTTTCTCCCAGAAACTGCCGTGAGTGTTTTATAATGACGGCTACGAAGGCGATGCCCAAGGATTTTTATCACCTCAAATTGCCCTCTGTTCAAGAGGCTCAACAATGAATCGAGTATGACGTCAAACTTCCTTCTTCCTACTCCAGCTCCTACAGTTTGTACATGCTGCGTATTCTGCTCCCTATCCTTTACCATTACTTTTACCATAGGTGACAGCTACAAAACAGCACAAAGCCCCGTACAGAACAGATGGACCAGACAAATAAGATAGATCACAGTTAGCGCAGCCAAAATATACATCCATATTGAGTTGCTACGCTGAGGGGTCAGAGAGTAGAACGCTGTCAAATCTTAGACAGTGACTATTTGGTATTACATTAGTAACTTTTGAAATCTGCTAGACTTTAACTTTTGGACTCAGTGCTGCATTATTAGTTATTTTTTCTTTTTTTTTTATCCTGAATTGACCTTCGGCTGCCATTTGTGCACCATTGTTAAATTCTGTTTTTTTTTTGGTCATTTAATTTTTGCAAACCTATTTTTGGTCTAGTCATCTAACAAATACATTTTTTCAGAAAACCATTTGACGTAGGGTTTTTGAATAATGGGCATCTGATTAGATATAATTTGGCAGGTTTTTTCTTCTTCTTCTTCCAGGAACTGTAGCCAAATCAGTTTTTTTTAGTTCCCTCAATTTTTCTTTTCTCTTCTTTTTCTTTTCTCTACTTTTCTTTCCTTTCCCTTTTTGACTTCTCGTCCCTTCTTTTCTTTTTCGGCTCCTTCTTTTCTGTTTCCTTCCTACAGTACCGACTGTAGTCCCGCTCACCTCCACCTCAGAGACTGTCTTTCTAGTCCAGACACGTCCTTGCCGATTGTGGTGGTTGGTTATTTGATCAGTTATAAAAATCTCCCCACTTGTTACTGTCGAGTCATGTCCGTGCAGGAGCGTTTGCCAGCGCCACATGTGAGTCTCTCTCTGAGGAGAGGACGTAGTCGGGTGATTACGACAAAAACAAATGAGGAAACAAAGCTGATTCTGTAAATCTGTTGACTTTTGTTGATGAACCACAGGAAGTCAACCCAGACTGTAGAAGCACACTTTCGGTGTGTGTGTATGTGCACGCGTGTGTGTGTGGTACAAAGGTTGTGTGGTAAAAGAGCCGGGTAATTGCAGTAGACGTAGGATTTAGGCGTGCTGTCTAAGGTCAGTGTTAGTTACAGTGTTTTTGTTTTTTTTCCCCTCCAGCTGTAATCTCAGTGTACAGGATTACTTTGATGATGCTGTTTGAGTTGACAAAACCAGCAGGAGGTATTAGGAGATTTCCAGCATTTTCACAAATTAGCGTCTGATGCTGGATCTGGTGGTTTGTGCTGTTTTCCAACAACAGTTGAACTGAATGCTGTGTTTGGGTGGTCTCTACTCTGACAAATCAACAGCAGAGACTAGAAGGTATTTCACAACTGTTATTATAGAGTTTCTTAAAGGGATATTGCAGGGTTTTTTTTTTTTAAGGTGGTTGCATTAGGCGTCTGAAATCAACAGCTAGCTTCAGTGGTGAGACCAGCCTGAAATGGGTGTCAACGTGTTGATCCTGAACGCCACTCAACGTCAAGACCTGCACAGTACAATTCCATTTAAAAATAATATGAAAATCTGTGTACGTTCTGAGTCAGCCGCCTGGATGTGGAAACCCAGACTTCCTCCGTGATCTCATCTATGATCTGATCCCTGTTTTAGTCCAGCCTTGTTTTACAACAGTGAAGGCAGCTGCGCAGCACTGTTCACTGGTTCAGTCTGGATGCACTAGTGTGTTGTGCACACAAGGTCTTAGACACGCACTGTATACACACACACACACACACACACACATTCTGCGGCCAATCTTATCGTGCTGTGCTTTTCAAGGATGTAAGAGCCGACGTTGTTTGGACTAAAAACTGGCTTTGACTTCTGCAGAGGAGACATGGACATTTTCTTTTGTCTCTGTGTGTGTCTCTGTGTGTGTACTCTCCTTTGCACTAATTCTTAGCTAAATGTTTAGGCCTACTTGCAATCAGCAGAACTGAGTTTTCTTTCATTCATGGAACAATAGGAAATCCAAGGTTAGGACACACTCTAGTGCAGGGGGTGTCAAACATACGGCTCGCGGGCCAAAACCGGCCCACTAGGGTGTCCAATCTGGCCTGCTTGATAAATTCTGAAAATAAAAAAATACCCACAACACTTCCTTTATACCCATAACACTTCCTTTTCAGGATTTTTTTGTATTTCATTGAATATTAA